CTGCCAATTGGGGGATCCTAAATAAGTGTCGCTGGCTATGGGTAGAGAGTGGACCCTAGAAAGGAGATATTTGTCGTTTTGCCTGAAGATGGGAACAATTAAGGAGATCCTAAACAGGCATGAACTATTGATAATTAGTTCAGAGGGACAATTATCCCATTGACCAAAAGTCAGTGGATTTGCCTGTACTAGAGCGAGAGTTTCTTGTTGATCCATTAGTGGATTGAGGGACTGTTTTTCAGTGGAGAATATGGTTCTCAGATTGCTGGAAAGTTTGGTATCTCAGAAAATTCTAGAGGGGTACTGAAAATGGGCTATTGTGGTTAAATCATTGATGAGGTTTTTGATCATTTCAGTTTGTCGGGATAGTATCATATTTAAGTTAATTATGTTGATCCAATTTTTGGGCGTTTCAAGAAATGGGGATTTTATTTCTTGTAATAGGCTTGTGATTATGGGTATTCTATTATTGTCAGCTCTGTAATAGGAGGAGAGTTCTGTTTCGAGCTGTTTGGATTCTTTCTTCTCTATTTCTTGGTTTGGCAGGAGGTTGAGATATGAAGGATCGGATGAAGGGATCAATTCTCGTCCTTTTGTTCTAATGACTAGATCAGTTAGGACTTCTGCTAATTTTGTTTGGGTTCCAGACAGAATGTCAAATGAGTTTGTTGTTGCCGTTGTCTTATTTTCTTTTTGGATGAAGGGATCAATTCTCGTCCTTTTGTTCTAATGACTAGATCAGTTAGGACTTCTGCTAATTTTGTTTGGGTTGCAGACAGAATGTCAAATGAGTTTGTTGTTGCCGTTGTCTTATTTTCTTTTGAGTGAAGTTGTTTTTTAATTAAATTCTGAGTCTGATCAGAGAAATTTTTGGTTTTACTGTATAGGCTTCCAATATCGATGTTGGTTGTAATTGTCCAGATTTTGGTGGGGGTACAGATAGGATAAAGATCTTCTAATGTTATTCCCATATTTCCTGGGAAATTTTGGATGGGAGAATTTTTGTTGGATTGGACACTGTTTGAAATCACTCCTTTGTCTGTTTCACTCATTTCAGTTATTTCCAGTGCGTAAAGGATAGGTAGGAAAAAATAAATCACTGGAGAGATTTTTCTGAGCATGTTTTCTGGGCAAGGACAGAGTGTGAACTGATTTAACTTTGTCGGAGTTGGTTGATTTTTAGATGGGATATTTTTAGTGGGCTTGGTTTTGTGAGAGGGATCGGCTCATTTTATTCAGCTTTCTCTGCTTCTCGTTGTTGGCTTATTGTGCGGGAAGCTATGGGTGCGGCTGCGCTGGCTTGACTTCGGGTCCTGTGTGGTAGAATCCTGGAGGGGTCAATGGCAGCAGGGTCAATGTCCAGGCGCGTCAGGCCATCAGCTCTCTTGATGGGCGTTAGGAAATCCAGGTTTTCTGCTCCTTGTGATGGAAAATGGGCAGGTGCGTGGGTACGTCTTTTTCGCTCAGAACTACAAAATGTTGTTCTGGATGGGCGCGTTCCGGTTGTGCTGGGATCCTCTTGGGTTTCTGGATCCTCTGGCTGTTCCGTTTGTGGCGTACTGGTCAGGGTTGGTAGGTTGTAGTCTGCATCAGGGGCAAAGAGGCGGCCAAATTCCTGGGTAACATTGTGGGCCACATCTTTGATTTTTTCAGGATACTCGGCTGTTTTGTTGGGCGACTGGTGGGGGTTGTAGGAATGATAGTGATAGGCGTGTTGTCGTCTGTAGGGATGTCGGCTTTGTCTTGTTCAGTACTGTTGTCAGGTAGCGTTTCGTTGACTGAAGAGAATAGGTCATCCGGTGTAGAATTGTTCAGATTGTTGTCAGGAATTTGTGGTTTGACATCAGGGATCGTGTCGGGTATTGGTTGTGCGTCCGGGATTTCACTCGGGTTAAAAGAAAAATCAAAGTCCTCTTTGATTGTAGTAGGCGTGTCAGATGTTGGAAAAATGGTCGGGGGATCCTGGTTGGGATCCGTATCGAGAAAATCGTCATCGGGGTCACGTTGTAGATAGGGTCGGACATAGCTGATGTGGATTATATCAGTCCATGTGGGGTTATTGTTGTCTTGTACGCGAATAACAACTTGATTAATTTTTTCAATCACAGTATATGGGCCCTTGTATTTTTGGGACCATTTTTGTCCAATATATGTGGCTTGTTCATGTCGTCAAATTAGTACTTTGTCACCCACATCATATTGTTGTCCTTTTCTATTTTTGTTGAGACGTTGTAGATAGGCTGCTTGGCCTTTTTGAATGGAATTTTGAGCAGCTTCTCTGAGACGAGAGATATTTTGTACCCTTTTTTCCTGGTCATTTGTTGGGCTGGGATGTGACCAGTCAAGGCAAGGTTTTGTTCCTGTGACCATCTCAAATGGTGACATTTGCAGAGCTTTGTGTTTGGCTGAGTTGTGCACCCAGGCTGCGAACTTTAATAATTTGTCCCATGTGGATCGGTTTTCGGGGTCGAGGTAAATTGCAAGATATTCGTGTAGCTCTCTATGTGCCCTTTCATTCTGTCCATTTCCTTGTGGGCGATAGGCTGTGGTGGTGTGTGTTTTTGCTCCAATGAATTTTGCCATGTCACAAAAAATTGCACTGATGAAATTTGTGCCTCGATCTGTGAGGATCCTTTTGGGCGCGCCGAATAGGCAGACCCAATCACTAATAAATAATCGTGCTGTTGTGGCTGCTGAGGCCTCCTTCATTGGGGAAAACACTATCCATCTTGAAAGTCGGTCTTGTGTAACTAAGATGTAGCGGTATCCTTTATTGCTAGCAGGGACAGGTCCAACCACGTCGATACTAATATCTTCAAAACATTGTATAGGGATTCCGGTAGAAAGATATGGCGTTCGATGGGCAAAATTCTTGGTTTTCTGACAGATTTTGCAAGTTCAAATATAATTAGAAATATCTTGGTCCATATTGTTCCAGGAAAAGTATCTTTGGATAGCATAGAGCGTGCGGTCCATTCCTGGATGTCCCATTGCAGGAGGATCATGATGCAGTTGGCTTACTTGCTGTCGTATTGTAGGGGGAATCCAAATTTTCCATTCATTGTCATGTAGTTTCCAGATAAGATTTTCTTCGTTCTTGTATTTGGGTCCTTGAGGAAGAGCAGAGATGTTTTTCTTGTTTCCTCTTGTATCATCATTTTTGGTATATAGGGCAGTATGTTGTTGCTTTGTAAAGATGGAGATAAGTATGCACACAGGTAGTTCACAGCAGGTGGGTACCTGCTGAGGGCGTCCGCATGCGGGATTTGTAGTCCTTTTTTGTACTCCACTCTATATGTATATTCATTTAACGTAGTGAACCACGTTATTGCCCTTTGACTGTCATTTTGTCATTGTCGGCTCAAATATGGTATTGCTATATGATCTGTCTTGATGACAAATGGATGTCCCCATAAGTACAATCGGAATTGATTGACACCATAAAATACTGCTAATATTTCACGATTGGTGTTGGGATAATTCTTTTCAGCTGGGTTCAGTGTTCTTGATGCACAGCCAATTAGAATTTCCTTTTTGTCGAGTTTTTTGTAGAGAGGGAGATAAATATGCACACAGGTGGTTGACAGCAGGTGGGTACCTGCTGAGGGCGTCTGCGTGCGGGATTTGTAGTCCTTTTTTATATTCCACTCTGTATGTATATTCATTTAACGTAGTGAACCACGTTATTGCCCTTTGACTATCATTTTGTCGTTGTCGGCTCAAGTATGGTATTGCTATGTGATCCATCTTGATGACAAATGGATGGCCCCATAAATACGATCGAAATTGATTGACACCATAAAATACTTCTAGTATTTCACGATTGGTGTTGGGATAATTCTTTTCAGCTGGGTTCAATGTTCTTGATGCACAGCCAATTAGAATTTCCTTTTTGTTGAGTTTTTGAGTTAGAATGGCTCCCACTGCCAAAGCTGATGTGTCTGTAGTCAGTATGAATTCCTTGTTGAAATCCGGGAAAGATAAGATTGGTGCCTTGAGCATGCATTGTTGGAGATCTCTCATTGCTTCTTGTTGTGGGGTATTCCAATTAAATGACGTATCCTTCCTTAATAGGTCATATAAAGGTCTAGCCCTACTGGCAAAATCCTGAATATATGACCTAAAATATCCAACTAGTCCGAGAAAAGCCTGAATTCCTTTGATATCCCTTGGAATTGGGAAATGTTGTATTGCTTTCACTTTTTTGGGGTTCACGTTGATTCCTTCTTGGCTGATTAGGAAGCCAAGATACTGTATTCTATTTGCGTTTGGAATAGCTGGCACTTGCTGAATTTCACTTTAAGTCCAGCTTGGTTTAGTCTTTGAAGAATGTCTGTCAGGTGTAAAAAATGTTGGTTTGCGTCTTTTGAATATATGACAATATCGTCAATATATATATACGCATACATTCCTAGGCATCCGTCCAGTACTAAATTCATCAATATTTGAAAAATTGAGGGGCTGTTTTTAAGTCCCATTGGAAGTCGGATGAATTCATAATGTCCAAGTGGCGTCGAAAATGCTGTCTTCCATCTTTCTTCTTTGCGTATTTTTAAATTTTAAAATCCGTGAAGTAAGTCCAGGGCTGTAAAATATTGAGCGCTTCCCAGTTCTTCAAATATTTGGTTGATGCGGGGTAGAGGATGGGGATCCGTTATGACGTGGTCATTTAGTCGTCAAAAATCGACCACCATTTGCCATCCTCCATCCTTTTTCTTTACCATAAGCATGGGACTATTGTAATGGCTTTTTGATGGTCTAATTATGTCCTTGTCCAGTAGTTCTTCTACATATTCTGCCAATAGTGGGCGCATACCAAAGGGTATGGGGTATTGTCTTGTATATACAGGGGTCGTAGTATCCAAAGGTATATCTGCTTGATATATTTCACATAAGCCCAAGTTGTCGGTCTTCAGGGCTAATACCTTTTTGTATTTTTGGAGTAGTTGTCGCATTTTTGGTATCCAATGTGATGGGCATTCTGATTGTCGTAGGTTTTCTTCTATAAGCGCATCGATGTTCTTTTCTTCGGATTTTCCATGTATTCTTTCTTTCGATGCTGTTTGCTGTAGCGTATATATTTTCTTGGGGGGAATATGTAAAAAATATGATGCAAAGCCAGGGTATGTTTTGGCTTTAAAACGATATCTTCATTAGTCAAGTTGAGGCACAAAACATGCACCTGATTATTTTTCATTTTTGATAGACTTCTTCCAATCAGTAAATCCGGTTGGTGTCGGTTATGTATATATACATCTGTTTCCGTTGTAGTCATTCCTTTTGATGAAGCGGGTTTCGTTAGCACCATTAGTTGAGATGATTTTGGCACAATAGTGGTTTGAAGAGGATATAACCGGAAACTGTCTTCTTCTTGTATGATTTCGGACGAAGCGGTTGAAGGTATTGTATATATTTGTTTGATGCGGTATTTTGAATTTTCCTTGGCAAAGAATGATATTTTCTCATTGTTGAGCTGGATAAGATTAAGAGGGTAATCTATGATAGCACGTAATTTTCGTAGTGCATCATTTCCGATAATTCCCTCAAAACTCTGATGTCGCAAGTCAATAATGATAAAATTCACTGTAGCGGGAGAAGTCAGGAGCGAATCAGCAGTTAATTGTCCTTGGATGGAGACTTGGTTTCCTTCAAGTGTAGATATGGTAGTGGTTGTGGAAATAGGATACACTGATGAGTTGAGTAAGGCTGAAGATAATACAGAGACTTCAGCTCCTGTGTCCACCAGGAATTTGATTGGGACATTAGTTACATATGTTTTCAATATGATGACCTGTAATTTCTGGGGTCCCTTCATAGAAATTCTGGTCAGTATTCGTTTCCCAAATCTGATCTGTCTTCTCCTGCAAAAGTGAATTCCTTTTCTTCTTCTTCTTCTTCTTCTGATGAATATTTCTTTTCTGATATGTGGTTAATTTTCTTTTCTGTGAAATGTCCATGGGGTTGATATTGTTCTCCATTTTGGCCATCATTTGGTTTTCTGAAATTGTTGCGGCGGTGAGGGCTTTTGCTTCTCATCCGTCGATGGGGGCTCCTTGATGAGGATCTTGGGGATTGTTTTTCTCTA